GGGGGTTGGGGACTCAAATTTTAAGTCTTGCGGCAAATTTGCTGGATTGATTAATGCGCGAGTCACTTCGGCTCACCTCGTTTAAATCCGCAGAAATTGTTGTCAGTGCGGCAAAGTCTTTAGCTCCCGACAAATAGTTTGTTTCCACATTAACACCACTCGCTGGGCTAATGAATTTGACGCTGACATTTCGGCTCATCATCATCGCACCGAACGCTTGTTTGTGATGGGGAGTTTTTGCCGGACGTGAGTCGTGAAGCAAACTTAACTCTTCACCCGAGAGGCAGGCACCGATTTGTCCCGGTGAAACCTGTTCCTTACGTGGCTACATAACTGGGGGAGACATTTTACCAACCCCCAAAAGTCATGTTGGAAACTTCAAACATCAGTGATGATATGCCTTTAAGGTTGTACAATTTGGAATTGGGACCAATATACCCAAACACACATGAACACTAATCCGAACTCTTAGCATAACCCATAACTATTAACCCAACACTAACTCTAGCGCACACCCCTACTCCTAGCTAGCTCTGAATCGAAATCACCTAAATCATACCACCAAACCTCTTACCACAACCGAAGTTGCGTCGATCCACAGTCTAAACCCGACGATTAAAATTTAATCTTACAGACTCTGTAAAGGGAATTGAAGGTTTTGCTTCACAACGCGGGCTTTGTCGGTCATGTTGCCGCACGCGAAGAGTGTGGGCTTTGATGTAATACGCGATGTTTGATTTGATCACGAGCGCATCCATCTCGCCTGTCGTCTCTTGATATCATTCAAAAGCATTTTTCTTCAATGGTGTCTCAGATGCTCGGTGGAATTTTAATGCTTGTTTGATTGTGTTAATGCGCCTGCCATTTTAGTGCACAAGTTGAGAGGTGGCAGTGTTGAGTGGGGGAGGTGGGGGGGTAGAGGGGGAAGCTCATTCTTCAAGAAATGAACTTACACTTGCTTTACTTGGCCACTGTTGCAGGATTTAATTAAAGCAGCGAGCAAGTGGTCTTGGACTTCGATAAGAAAAACACCACCCGTCACAAAATGAAATGTGGCCACTGAGTCACTGAGTTATTTATTGCCTGTCAGACACAGTCATTACGTACATTCAGTTTCATGTTGTGGAAAAATAACGCACAGGAAATTTAAAGACAAGAGACACATTTGAAACCTGTAATACATAGTACATTAAACACACACACACATACATTTTATATATACCTGTGTATAAAAAAAAATCCTCGTCTCACCCCTCGGGTGGTGTCCATCCCTCATTCAGCTCGGGTCCTCTACCAGAGGCCAGGAAGCTTGAGGGTTATATATATATATGTGTGTGTGTGTGTGTGTGTGCGACAACAGTGTGGCTTCAGAGAAAAAGAGCACCGGTACGAGACTGGCCTGCCTGCAGTCCAGACCCGTCTCCCCTTGAAAATGTGCAGCGCATTATAAAGCGTAAAATATGACAATGGCGTTATAATCTACAGTATACATCACGCAAGTTCAATCTATATAAATCAACTTTTTTTTTGCAATTTTCTGATGGTTGCTACGGAACAAACGAATAACTGAATCATAATCATTTTATGTTTGTACATTTTCCACACTGCAATGTTGAAGTAATATTTTTTTTTCTTTTTTCAAATAAAGGGATGTGTGACGATAAGCGGTTCGGATAATGGATAGATAGATGGACACTTTTTTGTTTTTCCTTGACTAATTGATTAATCTGAGAATTATTGTCTGATTAAACAATTACTGAATAAATTGTTAGTTGCAGTACGTATTGTAATTCTATTCTCGAATAAATCACCTTCAGTATTATTAGTGATGTTACTAAAGTATGAATGTAACTTGTACTGTTTAAATACTACACAAGTACTGATAGGTTTTGAAGCATTTATTACTGTAACTTGTGCTGTTAAAATAATAATGCAAAAAATATATACACATTCATTAACATGGATATGTAATTGATTAAAAAAATGGTATTAAAGCAACTTGGATTGTTACAATAATACAAGAAAACTGCAATAATGGTAGTCATTATCGTAATATAATAACCTTACTGGTTCCATAAACCATTTAGAAATGTGTCCTAAAAAACATAGTTGGGAGGCAACACTTAAAATAGAGAGCACCTTCAAGTCAATATCCAAGCATGACTGGATGGTGGAGTAACACTGCCACCTAGTGCACATACAGGAAAACACACTTCACACTGGCTTCGTTTTGAGGTTGGCATTCAAGACAACACTAATTCAAATGACGGTTGTGACATTTGACGTCTCTACGGCCCTTTCCTGTGACTGGCCTTCATGAGGGCCTTGATGGCGCGGGCCCTCATCTCCAGCTCCAGAAGCTCCAGCTGCTGAAGTGACGGCTGACACGGCACGGCGGCAACATCCCGGTGCTGGAGCCCCCGAAATGAAAACAATGTAAAAATATTTAACTGGACAAGGCCGCGATCACACAATGATATAAAACGTTTACACATGCCCTGTTCAAATTCCAGATTTTTGTGAATCATTTCCGAACCTTTTCCACCATTACTTAGAAACTTTACAACTCAAATCAAGGAGAAAAAAAATGAAAAAGAATAAACAGCAGATATGATGGGGTTGCACAAGTGTGCACACCCTCTCTAGACCGGCACACGTTCAAACTTGCACTGAGTCGGCACACGGCTGCTGCCACTTAAAGAGCGTCTGATGAAGGCCAAATAAAGTTCAAGTTGTTCTAGTAGGCTTTTGCTTTCTAGCAAAAGCCTAGCAAGCAAAAGCCTAGCAGCGACATACTAGTAATACGTAAGTGGGCACATTTGTGGAAGCACATTATTATTATCGAAAAGACTAACGACAACTTTCGATTGAGTTGTGCATGTTCAAGGTCAAATTGATGGTGGAAGAAGCTTGAAATGATTCATCCTGGGCATTTGACAAACGACATTGTTTTAAAGTTACAATCTCAACAGGGTTCAAGTCAGAACATTCTTAGTTGTTACATGGGCATGAAAATGTAATCTGACAAACAACAAAACATCAAAAACATGTCATTCCATTTAAAAACATTCAGCATCCTCAACCACAAAAAAGCACATCAAATCACGATACCTTAACTTGGGTAGCACGGTAAGTAAGGACGCGCACGTAAATTCATCTTGCGGACTTGTTCTCCTGGATCAGGATGCTTCTTCTTTGCCAGTGAAAATTGAGTCTCAGATCAAATAAAAAGTAAAAAACAAAAACAAACGCACCGCCGATTGATGGATGGATGGTCTCGCGGGCCGTTTGTGCTGCTTTACAGATTTAAATTTATCCCAAAGTGGCCAGTTTGAATTGTATAAAAGGTATTATAGTTATAATATCGAGGATTTTGAAGGTCAATGCTCATATTCTTTTTATTTCGTAGCTAGCTTACCTTGCTGGGGTTTGTTCGTATTTTCCGGCCCTTTGATGGATGTTGTGGAATCCACGCTGTTGTCTTTCCTTCAACAGATGGATGCCAAAAGACCACTTAGTTGCCAGAATAATAATAATAATAAAAATAAAAATAAAAAATAACAACAATGCTTATAATAACGAGCAACCCTTAAAACCTCCAAGAGACTATTTGCTTTCTGCAATTATGATATGAATAGGAGCAATAAAAATAAAGGAGCCCAAAACAAAAAAAAAATAAAAATAAAATTATTAAATTGCGGGACGAAATAATAATTATTGGTAGAAAATAGGACACATTAAAGTTCTCCCGTAAAAAGAGAATTAGTTGCCAGAATAGCACAACTAAAATAAATCTCAAAAGCGTTTTTTTCTCAAAAAATTATTAATGAAGAGAATAATCATATTAATAAACAGCTGATGGCAGTCTAAAAATGCATCAATTTTCACCAGGACGCACAATTTAGTGCCCTTTTCAGGATGTCAAAGCGAATAATGAGAAATAAAGTCAATGATTATGACACACTTTTGGCAAATATCTGAGGAACTCACTGTTTCTCCAAGGCCTGTTGTGGACGTTGGCTTGTGTCTTCGTCTTTAGTCACTTCCTTCCCTACAAGACAACAAACATTCGGATCGTAAGGTACACCATGACAAGACACTTGACGTGTTCATGCTACCAGACAAGATCTGCATGATGTTTCTCTCTGAGATTGGTTCCAGTTGCTCCCAGCACATTTTTCGGATCTCCTCCAAGCCACAATCCTGGGGGACAATGGTGGGATATAGAAGTTTTTGAAAATAAATGTCAAAGAAAAATATGGTTGGTTTAAAATTTGCTCAATTAATATTTAGTTAAGGAGTAAAAGCTCCTTTTGAAACAACATATTATTCAATGTTTTTGTCACCATTTACACGTACATCCATTTCAAAGATGGGAAAAAAACCGATGTCATTGATGGACATTGAATAAAACTGCTTCGTATTCAAGAAATGGCAACGCTGTGGCATTCAAGGGGCAAAGCCCGCATGTTTTTTCCAGCTCTTGATTGCACTGTGTGTGCTCGTTTACCTTGAATTGCTCGGGCAGCATCCTGCGGAGCTTCTTTTCGCCCAGCACGCCGAAGCACTGCTCCAGCATTTCCCTCTTGTCGCTGACGTATGCGGTGATGGGCTTGAACGGCACCCCGAGGTCGAGACCCCCTTCCTCGATGTCACTGCCGACCCTGTCCAATTCCGGGTCGGCAAGCTCGTCCTGCAAGCGACGCCAACCTTGTCAAACGCAACCGTCCGACGTCTTCATATTCCAACAAGAATATGTATGGAATTCACCGCTGGTATAATAATGTACAGATTGCCCCTAAATGCACCGCGAATACATTGACGCCAAATATGTACAACGTCTCACCACAACGTTGCTTTCGGCGCTTCTACGCTTAGTGCTTCGATGCCGCTCCTCGGACGGAGGGTTTTTCCTTTTCTTTCCGCTGCCACTTGACTTCTTTTTGAGCATTTTAGGTGGAAATACAACAAAAATATCAAACACGCTCAGTTTGCAAACACCGCTTACACGGAAGCTCGAGTGTCACTTCCGGTGACGTAATCAACAAATGGGGAGTTTCTTCTGCTGTAGTTGGTGTTGGCTTATCTTCAGCAAGATTATTTGCTGCCCCCTAAGGGTTGTAGTTTGCCACTTTACCAAGAATAGAATTTTACGATCGAGTCACACGAAAAGCATAAATAATAAGTAACAATAAGTATTATAATAATAATTATCGAATGAACGTGTTGCCGGGGCACACATAGACGAACAACCATTCTCACAATCACACTAAGGGACAATTGAGGGTGTTCCATTAACCTGTCATGCATATTTTTGGAATGTGGGAGGAAACCAGAGTACCCAGAGAAAACCCACAGAGGCACGGGGAGAACATGCAAACCCCACACTGGAAGGCCGGAGCCGGAATCGAACCCTGTACTTCTGCACTATGAGGCTGACGTGTGAACCAGTCGCCCACCGTGTCACCCAGTAGTAATAATAATAATAATAATAATAATAATAATAATAATAATAATAATAATAATAATAACAATAACAATAATAATTGCAATGACAGCAGTTCTTTCGATCTTTTCATCTGTCTTAAAGTCGTTTCAACAATTCAGTCAAAAATCACTGTAAAAGGAAATTCAAACTGCAGAGCTGCTTGCAAAATATAGACCTTCCTCCTGTTTGTCTCCCTATCGTTGAGCCCTTGCATCGTGATAAAAGCGCCTTTGATGTCTTGTTTATAAAATATTATAGTTATGCGCAGGCCGCAGCGCGGCATCAAGTCCGCTCACTCGTGGTTTTAATGTTGCCTCAATGAAACTGCCCTGCCATTTTCCGCAAAACATCCCATGAGCATCATTTTATTCCACACCCATTCTTACAATCCATAATGACACTTGCAACTCCGCACCTACATTTTAAGAGATGTGGCTGGTAAAACGATCGCGTTTAACCGAAGTTAAGCATTGGGGGAGGCCAACGTTTGGACCCAATGACAGGCCAGTTCTGGCGGGCAGGCAGTACATTTGACAGCTGATTTAAGGTGTCTCCTGGTTAGTCTACCAATACGAATGGATAAAAAGTTGGGCATAATGTTGCCATTGATGCCAGTCCGAAAACAATTTAGGAAGTCCTGCTTTGGTACCTTCAACTTGACAAACCAGGACACCTCTTGCGTTGAATTAGTGCTAGCGTCAATGCTATTATTGTTATATGCTAATATTATGTTGGACTGTCCCTTTCAATGACATTATATATCAATCCAGTGTTGACTTTGTTTTGGTCAATAAGAGAATGACAGTAGCAGATTTTAGCAATAAAGACGCTTGCTATTAACCTTAAGTGCACTGACCGGCTGCCAGCTGTCATTAAACATAAAAAGGTAAATAAATGAGCTTTTTATGAGCATCTTAAATCATGCCCAATCATACTGCGTGGCCTGAATCCTCACCATGATGATGCAAAAGGAGCCACTGGAGGGCAGCCCAGCAACAGATGATCCATCCCCTCCACATGCTCGCGTACACTGATGCGGTTCTGCAGCATGGGGTTCCGAGGTGGGATTCTGGCAACGCGGCTGGATTTCCGGCAGCTCTTAGCCTCCAGCTGTGGTTCCAGAAGTCTTTGGAAATGTCAGTCATGTGGCCCTTGGACGCCATGTTGAGAGGCGGGCACCACAGTGGCTTGCTCTTGTCCTTGCCTGTTCCTTAAAACCTTCCAAAAAAATAATAATAAAGGTTCAGGCTAATATGAAGCCACTTAACATTGTCACACAAGTTTTGATGTACCTTAAAAGCTTAAAAAAAAATAAATAAAATTTTGGTCCCTAACCTTGAGTTGTGATAATTGCATGTTACTGTTATTATTTTTTAATCCTTTTTGAAGGTTTTGGCATTTTCCTGGTTGTGTCACACGTTACCACCCTTATTTGCACTGTGCTGCTCGGAGGCTACGTGTTAGCGTAACTATTTTTGAAGGCTTCGAGGTCAACACGCTTTCGCACCTTTACGCTTGCTAGCTGGCTACATGGCTAGCCCTAACCTTGAACCATAATTGCGCCGAATTAAGACACTGACCTTGTCAATGGTAGTGGATATAAAAACAAAGCCCCACCACCCCACCTGACACACACACACACACACACACACACACACACACACACACACACACACACACACACACACACACACTGCCCCCCTGACTGTGTGGTCCTGCAACTCCATCTTACTGAAGGTGGACCGGTCACTCAGGGCACCCGCCACCTGTGCATCACAGCGATACCCGTCCCATGAGTGACCCTCATTATTTGGCATGGTAATATGGCGCATAGCCGAGTCTTCCCTAGTAGCAGATTGCACAGATAAAGAGGTCACGTCCCTTTCGATCTCACTGGTTGCCCTGCCGTTGGTGGGGTGCAATGCAACAGACTTTTTGCATCTGCTTTCGAGCTGAGAAATGTCATCATTGCATAAACCCTTATCCCTCGTAGCCGTAACTCTCACCCATAACTCTAATTCTAATTTCAAACACAAACCCAATCTTAACCCCTAACCAAATGCTAACATCTAGCCCTAAGGTCCTAAACTTAACCCCTAAATCGAACCCTACCCAAGAACCCCTAAACATAACCTAACCTAACCCCTAACTCCTACTTGCTAGTTTTAAAGCACATTCTTTTTTTGTCTTTAAAATAATATTTGACATTGCGCTGGCTGATGGAGTTACAGTAACTAAAATAATTCGGAACTCCCTGGGGCGCACAAGAGCAAAAATGTCACTCCAACTGTTTCGGGATTTTCCGGCATGAAGTGAAAATCCTGCATTTAAGATCACTGTCTCTCTCATCTGAGCACAGACATCAGATTCAATTGGACAAGCGGAGAGTTGTGGGGTGGAGTGGTGGGTGCATCCAGAAGTCTGTGCTGGGCCCGACTCGTGAGCTGCACAGGAGGGTTAGGGGCAGGCCTTTGCCAGGATGGATCTAATCTCTGAGGGCTCTCATGTGGATAGATTTGCTCAGTGTTAACCATGAACTACGAGGGATTGTCACCCAAGGACAGAACCTCATACACTGGAGCTTTTTGGTTCGGAAAATGCCCATATCATCATTGGCCAGATTTTCAGGCACAGTTCACGCAATTAGTGGGCGTTCGAATTACAGGTCATTCAAATATCGGTTGTGTCATGTGATACCTGTACACTCAATTCAATTTCAGTTACTGTTTGTGTCATTAGACGGTATACTTGTCAGCAAAGTCATACACACCGCTACCAATTTGTCTTTCCAATCAGGTTTGGTTCTCCACTCCCGGCGTTTACAGCGTTTTGGTTCCTTCACTACCTGGTGGCGCACCTGGCAGCTGTGCTGCGCCTTCACTTACCTGCTCTGGCACAGCCTGTGAGGGCACCCCATTATTCATTTGGACAGGCTTTTTATGAGCCAGCAGGCTGGTTGCAGGGGCTGGAGCAGATGCGTTCGTCTGTCATTGTTAAGAGCTCCACGTGAACTGTAAATAAAGACAACACGGTGTCCCAAAAATGGACTCGCTCTTTGACTGCCCATTACTCATATTTGTTTTGTTTTTGTTTCAGGCAGAAATAACCCAAAACTAACAGGAAAAACTAATTTGTCTTCAAATGATATTGAAAAGTCTGTGTAAAGAGATTTTTACAGTACCCACTATTGCGGCACACACTTTTTGCAACAAAGGCATCTTTTCCTGAATAAAAAGTGGAATGCAGTGAACCCTTTTTGTTCACGGGGGGATGGAAAAGCGGTAGAACGTGACATCCACACAACAAAGTGTGACAGCAAAGCAAAAGCAGCACTAAGTAAAGGTCCTCCCCTCACTTCAACCAAGATTTTTGGTACCAAGATGTCACCAGATAACAACAAAGCCAGATCAGATTCGAGAGACATGGCTTTGGCCTGAGCAAAAATCTACGGTATTCCATCGAATTGATGAATCAACAGCGAAAATGTGGGAGCTTTACTCTGTTATGAGAAGGAAATTTTATTACCCCTCATTAAACTTTGACTTCACTATAATAATATTTTGACTGTATTTAGGAAATAGACAACTATATTGTCATGAAATTTGCATCCAAAGTACCGTAGTTTCCGCACTATAAGGCGCTTTGGAGTATAAGGCGCACCTTCAACGAATGGGCTATTTTAAAACTGTTTTCATATGTCGGGCGCACCGCATTATAAGGTGCATAGAATAGAAGCTACGATAGTGGCTGCGGTTGCGTTACGCATCCACTAGATGGAGCTACGCTAAAGGGAATACAATACAATACAGCTTTATTTATATCGAGCTTTCATAACTGCTACAGCTGTACCAAAGCACTCGACAGAACCTTTAAAATACTACGTCCAAGAAATCAGAATATTGATCCATATATAAGGCGCATCGGATCGTAAGGCGTACTGTCGGCTTTGAGAAAATTGAATGCTTTTCGGTGTGTAAAATACGGTACGTCTTTGTTCTTGTAAAGATGACTTTTTTTCTTGAAAACACAGATGCTATTGTCATTAAAAAAACTTGTATTAAGAAAAAAATGATTGCCACATTGTGATTTTAGCATAATGACGAAAAGTCTCCCCTTAGACCCAAAACCTCTGCTTTAAATATAGTAAAATGTCCTTTGATCTTAAGCATGAGCAAAATACAAAGAAGGAGCGCTGTTTAAAGCTGGAATTGAGCATCAGCATCATCCTGCAGATAAGAACAACAATAAAAAAAAAAGATGTTTACTACCCTTTGCTGAATCAGGTGCAACCTGCTTCAGGACACAAACGGCACCGAAAAAAAAAAAGCCGACCTTCAAAATTTCAGCAGCCTGCTGAATACCTCCAAATAATGCGCTCTCTTAATTGAGCTCACACAAAATGTATGCATCACCTGCTTTGTTGCATCCAGACGCCAATCGATCAGCGGTGGGCTTAACGGCTTCAGCCGGGGAGCACTTTTCAGAATTTTAATTCTCTCTTAACACTCTCTAGTCCTCATTCCCGAGATGGTCGTCAATAAGACCACCGGCTTCTCAAGTCACCGTGCGCTCAAGCAGTGGATGGTCTTGTCAGTCGTTATGCGCGGCACGGATCGCAGCATCTTTTATACCTCTTGGAATCAGTCATCCAATCCGTAATCGTAACATTTTAACTGGCGGACAAACACGCTGTAGTGACACTAGAATGAGCAAATACCGTAATTTCCAGTGAATAACCCCAGTATAAAACACCCCGAAAAACCACCTCTGAAAAAACATGTTTTTCTTTGTATTTGTGTATAGTACAGTCCCCTGATTTGCTGGCATCCTTTATTACACTAGCCAACAGCATTTTTTTTGTTTTTTTGCAAATACAAGTTTAATCAAGCGATAGTCAGGAAGCAGATTCAAGATGGACAATAAAATGCAGTACAGATTTATATGTAAACATAAATAATGACATGGTTGATCCACAGTTCAGTGCAATGTGCAAGTCTTTTTTTTTGATTTATGGGGCGCTAGACCTTGTAGGACCCCGGGGAGGTCTCGGCCGACTGCATCTGGAGCTCGTCGGAGGTGTCCACCGAGTTATCGTAGCTCTGAGAGTCGTCCTCACCATGCTGCCGGCTCGCAAAATTCACAAAGACCTGCGGAAGAAAACAGAAAAAAAGGAGAGGAGTATGAAAGGATGCGTACGTCTGGGTTTGAGCCTTTTGTCTTGATGCATGTAGGTGGTGTAAAAATAAATTTCCACCACATGGGATTCGCTGCTATTAATCCAGAAAGTTCGGATAAGCAAAATGTCTCACCAAAAAAGTCATGCTGACTTGAAAATTCTCGAACTACTCCATAACCAAAGTCCTCTACAACCCCACGAAAAGAAATATGGAATTTCGTCACACATGAGCACCATTATCAATCAAGAAAGTAACAATAGGCCCCACCTAGAGCGAGAACGGTCATGCTGACTTGAAATTTCTCATTTGATTTATACAATACAATACATGCTGATTTATGTAGGGCTTTCACAACAGCTGTAGCAAAGCGCTTAACATTTGTTTTCAATGTTCTCCTAGTAATTCAGTTTACCAAAAATTACTTGAAATTTCTCACTGTTCTTTTCAATGTCCTCTTAAAAAAAAGAAACATGGCAGTTTGCCACATCCAGTCGCTGTGATCACCCCCTTAAATAATAATAGGCCAAGCACCTCAACAGAAAAGCCACACTGTCTTGAAATTTCTCACACTATTCCATATCAAAGTCCTCTACAAGACAGCAATGTGGCATTTCACCAGGCAAGAGTGCGGTTATTAAAACTTCAAATTCTTTTGATTGATCAAACACCCCAAAGACTCATACTAACTTGAAATTTCTCACACAATGCCATATCAAAGTCCTCCACAGGAAAAAAAGGCATTTTCACCACATGGGATTGATTGCTCTTTTTAAAGAAAGTTATAATTGGCCAAACATATTCACGAAAAAATAAAGTCCAAGTGACTTGAAATTCCACCCACGATTCAATCTCCATGTGTTCCACAAGTAAAAAAAATTGAAATCTCACAACGTGCGAGCACTGTTAGTAATCCAGAAAATTATGATAGGACCAACACAACAAACAAGTAAAGCCATGCTGACTTGAAATGTCGCTCATATTTCAAAATCAAAGTATTTTTACAAGACAAAAAAAAGGAAATAGAAGTCTCTCCCACAATTCTATCTCAATGTCCTTTCCAAGTAAAAATATGGAAATCTCGCAACATGGGAGCACTGTTCGTAATGGAGAAAGTAATGCTCGGGAGTGTTGAATAAAAGGGAGTCCTGGACAATGCGGTCTCGGTTGCAAATGTGTGCACATATAAAAGTGGCAGCAACGACTTGACAAGCTAACACCCCAACAGCACTTCAGATTGGGCCATTTTCCTTTCAAACAGCCACTTTGCTCTTTGCCGCCGGAGCCTAGGGCCACGTGGATCGATATTAATTGCGGCGTGAATTCAGAATTCTACACCAGGTCAAGGAGCCTCTTGATCAATCACCAGCTGAGAGGTGACTGTCGGGGCCCTCCTCCACGTCTCACATGGACATCATGTGTTTACATAACATCTCATGATTTTGAATGGAAGGTCGCTCAACCCTCAACTCAACTGTATAGAGCACTTCAAATCAACCAGCGCTGTATACAGAACGCTCTACATAGAGCAAAAATAATTCATACAACAAACAATGAAACAATAAATACACAACAAAGACAGTAGAAATCACAAAAACTAATAGTGGCTGGTCCAGTATAGGGAGCAAGTGATGGGACGGCAGAGTAGGAGTTATATGCTCCCCTCTTACGAGTAACAGTCAAGAGGCGAGGAGCAGCATTCTGGACCAACTGGAGACGCTTCATGGAGGATTGTCCTACTCCAAAATAAAATGCATTACAGTAATCAGCCAAGATGTGACAAAGGCATTAATTAATGTTTCAAAGTGCTCTTGAGAAAGGAGAGGCTTTATTTTAGCCAGCTGCCGAAGATGAAAGAAGTTGGATTTAATAACGGCACCAATTTGCCAGTCCAATTTAAAACAACTGTCCTGTTTAGGACCCAAGTTCAAGACTGCTGGCTTAAGATATGGATCCAGGGGGCCCAAGTCCGCAGAATGGGATCGACAAGGGCAACTGCGACCAGAGACCATCACTTCTGTCTTCTTTTCATTGAAATTCAAGAAATTCAGTGCCATCCAGGTCTTGATTTCCTCTAGACAGGATAAAAGTGGCCTCTCTGTATTTCCTCTAGACAGGATAAAAGTGGCCTCGATGAAAAAGTGTATTTTTTGCTCAGCGAGACACAGATCTGACAGTCATCCGCAGAGCAGTGGAAGGGAATACCATGTTTTCTTAAGATGGAAAGCAAAGGTAGCAGATTCAGTGCTAATAGTGGCTGGTCCAGTATAGGGAGCAAGTGATGATTACGGCAGAGTAGGAGTTATATGCTCCCTCTTATGAGTAACAGTCAAGAGGCGAGCAGGAGCATTCTGGACCAACTAGAGACGCTTCATGGAGGATTGTCCTACTCCAAAGTAAAATGCATTACAGTAATCAGCCAAGATGTGACAAAGGCATGAATTAATGTTTCAAAGTGCTCTTGAGAAAGGAGAGGCTTTATTTTAGCCAGCTGCCGAAGATGAAAGAAGTTGGATTTAATAACGGCACCAATTTGCCAGTCCAATTTAAAACAACTGTCCTGTTTAGGACCCAAGTTCAAGACTGTTGGCTTAAGATATGGATCCAGGGGCCCAAGTCCACAGAATGGGATCGACAAGGGCACCTGGGACCAGAAACCATCATTTTTGTCTTCTTTTCATTGAAATTCAAGAAATTCAGTGCCATCCAGTTCTTGATTTCCTCTAGACAGGATAAAAGTGGCCTCGATGAAAAAGTGTATTTTTTGCTCAGCGAGACACAGATCTGACAGTCATCCGCAGAGCAGTGGAAGGGAATACCATGTTTTCTTAAGATGGAAAGCAAAGGTAGCAGATTCAGTGCGAACAGCAGAGGCTCCAGAATTGAGCCCTGTGGAACACCACATGACAGTGGAGCAGTTCATGCCTCAGAGCAACCAAGACTCACACAAAAGGTTCTGTCAGCTGAATAGGACCGCAGTCAAGAGGCGAGCAGGAGCATTCTGGACCAACTAGAGACGCTTCATGGAGGATTGTCCTACTCCAAAGTAAAATGCATTACAGTAATCAGCCAAGATGTGACAAAGGCATGAATTAATGTTTCAAAGTGCTCTTGAGAAAGGAGAGGCTTTATTTTAGCCAGCTGCCGAAGATGAAAGAAGTTGGATTAAATAACGGCACCAATTTGCCAGTCCAATTTAAAACAACTGTCCTGTTTAGGACCCAAGTTCAAGACTGCTGGCTTAAGATATGGATCCAGGGGGCCCAAGTCCGCAGAATGGGATCGACAAGGGCAACTGCGACCAGAGACCATCACTTCTGTCTTCTTTTCATTGAAATTCAAGAAATTCAGTGCCATCCAGGTCTTGATTTCCTCTAGACAGGATAAAAGTGGCCTCAATGAAAAAGCGTCTTTTTTGCTCAGTGAGACAGATCTGACAGTCATCCGCAGAGCAGTGGAAGGGAATACCATGTTTTCTTAAGATGGAAAGCAAAGGTAGCAGATTCAGTGCGAACAGCAGAGGCTCCAGAATTGAGCCCTGTGGAACACCACATGACAGTGGAGCAGTTCATGCCTCAGAGCAACCAAGACTCACACAAAAGGTTCTGTCAGCTGAATAGGACCGAAACCACTCAAGGGCGCTACCACCAATGCCCACCAGGTGCTGCAAAGGAGCCAACAGAATATTGTGATCCACTGTATTAAATGCTGCAGTTCCATCTGACAGTCATCCGCAGAGCAGTGGAAGGGAATATCATGTTTTCTTAAGATGGAAAGTAAAGGGAGCAGGTTCAGTGAGAACAGCAGAGGCTCCAGAATTGAGCCCTGTGGAACACCTAAATAGGACCGAAACCACTCAAGGAAGCTACCTGCAAAGGAGCCAACAGAACACTGTGATCCACTGTATTAAATGCTGCAGTTCGATCCAATAAAACCAGACACACATCATCTCCAGTGTCATTTTCCAGGAGGATGTCATTAAAAACTTTGAAGATGGCTGACATAAAGGACACATCAGAAATGAAAATTTGTTAATAAATGTAAGCAAAAGCTAATTACAATTAATTCAATGATTGTTTGTTTTTTTTAATATGAGTGATGTTACTTCAGTGTGGTGAAATAGTTGACATTTGGAAGAGTCATTCAAGAATATATATAATTATGAAATATTTTCCCCCTCCAGGCTACCCTGACAGCACTGGGTAGCTCCTTCAGCCATAGACTGATACACCGGCGCTGCAAGAAAGAGAGGTATCGCCGCTCGTTCCTGCCGACTGTTGTCAGGCTATTGAATAGACGGTCCTGAAAACCTGACCTCAGTCCCACTCACCCATTTTTAAAAGGGTTATATTTATATTTTATATTTTTTATTTATTGATATACTTTTTGGCTTCTACTTTCTCCCTTTCTTAATTTTGCTGCTGTAATGGAAAAGGCTGTTGGTTTGAACACACTTCTCCAAGAGCCTACAGATGGGACCGATGACCTCTGGTGACCCCTCAGTGGTCATTTTGGCTTGGCAGCTGCCAATCGGAATCTGCTTCTGAGCTAATAGCAGCCTCCAAGGGGCGGGCACACTCGCCACTGAGTGCCTCATTGCCGCCGCATTCTGGCTCGGCTAAAACAAATGTCGCCCGTGGCTTCGGATCGATTCGGTGCCTGCAGGGTGGATGGCGCGGGCGGATAAGTGAACTCAGCACGGGGTCCTCATTGGTCAGGAGAGGAGAAAGCCAGGATGGCGTTTTCAGTCTTAATTTTTATTATAGACATTCCACATCTAAGTAATTTATTTAATAATTGGTACAGCCTCTTTTCAGCAAACCCCGTTTACGTTTTCACCGCTAAACCGTTCACATTTCAAAGTCCCGATTTCACGTCATTTTCTATTTGCCGATTTTGCTGACAACGAACACCTTAATAACGTAAACTTCATGATAACGACACAAAATAGTGAAAATTCCCCTCCGTTGCTTAGCAACACTACTGATTGTACCATGTTGGTCGTTTCAGAGGCTGTACCTGGTCTAGGGTGGTTTGCGACACGGAGTAGTCGTCCACACAGAGTGTGCCTCGCTGGTCGGTGAATTGTCGGAAGATGTGCGCCAGCGCCCCCTGGCCAGCCGGCAGCTGGTATTGCAGGGTGTTGTGATGCTTCTCCTTCAGGACGCTCCCGGGGAACGTCTGATCCACAAAGTCCTCCACTGGCTTCAGGAGCGGAGGGTGGCCGCCCACGCGAACCGTCACCGTGTAACCGTCGCCGAACCTGCAATTTTATACAATTTGACTCATTGCTAAGAATTACGAAAAAATACTAAGAATTTTACCCCCCCAAAAATCGACGAGGGACCACTAGAATTGTAAAATGTCACCACAAAAAATGATATTTGTATTGCTTTACATATAAACAATATTTCAACTTTAGTTCCTGAATTTTAAAGAATTTTTGAGGATTGTAAAAAAAAAAAAAGTTCCCATAATTTGATGACACGAATAAAGAAGGCAGCAAACAATCACTGGCACGAATGTCGGAATGAAGTGCATTCGGGGAGGGTGGGCATGCATTCCAACTGAGCAGTGGCAGGGGGCAAGATGTGAGCGCCGCCTCCCGCGGTGATTCTCTACTGTGCTGGAGGCAACGAGATGGAAGCATTGAGGTTGGCCCACGTGAATGCACGCAACTCCAACTGAGGGCAGAAGCTCATTTCATATGGAGATCATTTTGGCAGTTTTAAGAAATATTGTAAAACACACGCGGGAGGGATGAATAGATGTATCAATTGGAATTTTATGAAATATTGGAAAATGAGAGGGCCCAGTAAAATAGGTTCAATTGGAAGATTTTTAAAGAGCGATGACACACTGCATCTGGGAACAACCTAGTGCATTTTTTTCTTTGTACAAAAAAAAAGAACAGTTAGACTGAGAATTTACAGTAATTGTATGTAATCATCTACGAGACGTCCCACTAAATCTTTTCAACGAAAAAAAGTTACATTAATGAGCAAATTGTAGGAATTAAAGAATTTTACAAAGTACTGGATGATGGGGGGGGGCCACTAAAATGGCTTAAATTTTACTTAAAAGTGAGTCAGATAAAGATTTTATTTTAATCTCACAAAAATATTGGACATGAGGGCCTACTTAAATTGTTCTGTTTTATTCAGAAAAATAAAATAAAAACAGAGAGCAGTTATGTTAAGATTGTAAAGAATTATCTGAAAAATCTGACATGAACCACCAAGTTTTGTCCCTACTGCAAAAAATTAAATTAAATAAAAAGAATTGGACAAAAGTTTGATGAAGAACTTTTAGGAATTTTGCATTATACCAAAAATCGGACAACAGTGATGATAACTACATTTAAGAAAAACACAAAATATCTGCAGAAAATCTGGCAACAAAATTTTAAATGATGATTGAAAAGTGGTTCGAATTTGAACACAATACGGGTCAATGAGAGGACCCAATTGGACGGACAAATGGCTTTCACCTGGTTGTGACGCGGAACGCGGCGAGCCACAACAGACGCGACCTCGTCCCCTCTCCCACAATTCTATCTCAATGTCCTTTCCAAGTAAAAATATGGAAATCTCGCAACATGGGAGCACTGTTCGTAATGGAGAAAGTAATGCTCGGGAGTGTTGAATAAAAGGGAGTCCTGGACAATGCGGTCTCGGTTGCAAATGTGCACATATAAAAGTGGCAGCAACGACTTGACAAGCTAACACCCCAACAGCACTTCAGATTGGGCCATTTTCCTTTCAAACAGCCACTTTGCTCTTTGCCGCCGGAGCCTAGGGCCACGTGGATCGATATTAATTGCGGCGTGAATTCAGAATTCTACACCAGGTCAAGGAGCCTCTTGATCAATCACCAGCTGAGAGGTGACTGTCGGGGCCCTCCTCCACGTCTCACATGGACATCATGTGTTTACATAACATCTCATGATTTTGAATGGAAGGTCGCTCAACCCTCAACTCAACTGTATAGAGCACTTCAAATCAACCAGCGCTGTATACAGAACGCTCTACATAGAGCAAAAATAATTCATACAACAAACAATGAAACAATAAATACACAACAAAGACAGTAGAAATCACAAAAACAGTAAAACTAAAAATCAAGTCTCTTGCCGAGTCAAAAGCCAAAGAATAAAAATAGAATAAAAATGAGTTTTAAGACAAGCTTTAAAGATGGACAGGGAGAGGGCTTGACGAATGTTCAGTGGGCGGTAATTCCAAAGAGTAACGGGACAGCAACGGAACAGGCTAGATCCCCTCTGAGCCGCCGTTTAGTTTTCGGAACCTCTATTTGAAAACCAACTAGAACTCTAAAATGAAGAGGGATGCCAGAGTAAGTGTTATGCACTCCGTCTAACGAGACCATTTAAGAGGTGAGCAGCAGCATTCTGGACCAACTGGAGACGCTTAATGGAGGATTGCATTGCAGTAATCCAGCCGAGATGTGACCATGGCTTGAATTAATGTTTCAAAGTGCTCTTGAGAAAGGAGAGGCTTTATTTTAGCCAGCTGCCGAAGATGAAAGAAGTTGGATTAAATAACGGCACCAATTTGCCAGTCCAATTTAAAACAACTGTCCTGTTTAGGACCCAAGTTCAAGACTGTTGGCTTAAGATATGGATCCAGGGGCCCAAGTCCACAGAATGGGATCGACAAGGGCACCTGGGACCAGAAACCATCATTTTTGTCTTCTTTTCATTGAAATTCAAGAAATTCAGTGCCATCCAGTTCTTGATTTCCTCTAGACAGGATAAAAGTGGCCTCAATGAAAAAGCGTCTTTTTTGCTCAGTGAGACAGATCTGACAGTCATCCGCAGAGCAGTGGAAGGGAATACCATGTTTTCTTAAGATGGAAAGCAAAGGTAGCAGATTCAGTGCGAACAGCAGAGGCTCCAGAATTGAGCCCTGTGGAACACCACATGACAGTGGAGCAGTTCATGCCTCAGAGCAACCAAGACTCACACAAAAGGTTCTGTCAGCTGAATAGGACCGAAACCACTCAAGGGCGCTACCACCAATGCCCACCAGGTGCTGCAAAGGAGCCAACAGAATATTGTGATCCACTGTATTAAATGCTGCAGTTCCATCCAATAAAACCAGACACACATCGTCTCCAGTGTCATTTACCAGGAGGATGTCATTAAAAACTTTGAAGGTGGCTGACATAAAGGACACATCAGAAATGAAAATTTGTGAATAAATGTAAGCAAAAGCTAATTACAATTAATTCAATGATTGTTTGTTTTTTTTAATATGAGTGATGTTACTTCAGTGTGGTGAAATAGTTGACATTTGGAAGAGTCATTCAAGAATATATATAATTATGAAATATTTTCCCCCTCCAGGCTACCCTGACAGCACTGGGTAGCTCCTTCAGCCAGAGACTGATACACCGGCGCTGCAAGGAGAGGTACCGCCGCTCATTCCTGCCGACCGCTGTCAGGCTATTGACACTCACCCATTTTTAATATGCTTATATTTATATGTTATATTTTATATTTATTTATGTACCTTTTGTTTTCTACTTTCTCCCTTTCATAATTTTGCTGTTGTAAATTGGGAATTTCTCCAATGTGAGACAAATAAAGGTTTTCTTATCCTATCTTATCTTATTTTTTCCAAAAACTTTATAATGATTTCAACAATACATGTTTATTGATATAGCACTTTCACAACAGCTGCAGCTGTAACAAAGCGCTTTACAGAACAGTTAACATAAATTAACAAAATAATATAACACAACACGTAACATAAAACACGGAGAGTCATGCAGTCTTAACTACTTTTCCTGCAAACGCTTTGTTGTTTGAAGCAGTTCTTGATGAAAGAGGAGAGAATCAAAGTGTCCAATCAAAATGTGCACATGTCTGCTACAAGCTAAGTTTGAAAGTAAACAAGAAGCTGTAGCTTCCATTGATGAAAAAAGAGATTGGTTTACTTCTCCTGTCCCATGTAAATCCGCTTCAATTCCAAGCAGTGACTCTCAGGTCCAATTACCGATCTGTGCTGCGCGCCGATGCTCCACTCTTCTCATCCTCGGCCCAACAAGCCATCCATCCAACCGCACCAGCGCAGACTGTCCAACAGCGTTGACATCTCCGCTAAACAAAACGAGGCTGTCAAAAATGCTGCCCATTACAGGCGCAAAAAACACAAGTGCCCCGTGGCAGCTTTACTTAGCTTTTCTTTAGCGTGCTTGTGCACTTGCACAGTTGACCTCATAATCCATTTGGTTTGCGATGGAACAGATTTGTCAATGAATTGCTCTTCGTGCCGAGCATTTCCGCACATCTAACAATTTTATTCCAAAGTGACATCACCCGAATGATTTCCAACTGCGAATCATTTCCAGGCTACGTTATTAAATAGTCACTGCGATGAGAGTCTAAATTTGAAGCAATGCTGTCTTCTGTGAGCTGGTCCCACACGTGACTGAGTCTTGCCTGCTGATTCACAGAATGAGGGTTTATCACTTCCTTCTACTTTGCAGCCAATCAATGGACTCCCTCATCTTTTCTTTTCATGACAGTATTAATACCACGCTAATATAAAATTGCAAATTGTGAAAGCAACAATAATAATAATAATAATAATTCATTTTATTTAAAAGCGCCTTTCATGCCACCCAAGGACACTGTACAGACAATGAGGAAATACAACATAAAAACAGATAAGAGAAATATTATATAAAAACAGGACATAAAATCGCAAAACATGGGAAATGGAAGATGACGATATATATCGCCCACCTCGTGTCACACCTAAACAAAAGGACTTATGCACACGTTTCAACAAGTATTTCGTTCAGGTTAACATCCTGAAGCATAAA